GAGTTGCTTTTCAGTGCGTTGCACTTTCTTTCTTGTTGAAAGGATGGGAATGATGACTTGCAAGCTGTTTACACATTGATGCTGGAATGGAAAGTTGCTTTTCTCTTTTTTTGGTTTTGTAAAAAATGTTCTCAAGGCATGAGGGCTGAGATGGCAAAAAGACCATGTGTCCATCCATCTGCCTTTTGGGAAACAGTCTGCAGTGGAGTTGACCCTCCGTGAAGGGAAGGCTGATGGAGTCTGGTTGATCCTGCTAGGGAGGGCTCCTACTGGCTCTAGGGGCTCAGCGGGCCTGCATCCCCACCCCCATTCCCCTGCCTCATTCTGGCTTCACTATCTCTCCCTTGGACTGGGCTCTCTCCCTCCTCAGACTCCACCCTGCAGTCCACCCTGGGTCCCCCAAAGGATCTTTGTTATCCCCCAAAAGATCCGTGTTGTAGAACACAGGTAACTGTTCAAAAGTTCTCCCCTGACCAGGCTCACACCTGTAATCCGAGCATTCTGGGAGGCTGGGGCGGGCAGATTGCAAACACAGTGAAACCATCTCTCTACTAAAAAAAAAAAATACAAAAAATTGTGCTACCTTTGGCAGTACATACACTAAAAAAAAAATACAAAAAATTAGCAGGCATGGTCCTGCATGCTTGTAATCCCAGCTACTTGGGAGGCTGAGGCAGAAGAATCTCTTGAACCTGGGAGGCGGAGGTTGCCCAGGCTGGAGGGAAGTAGCTCAATCTCACTCACTCAATCTCAGCTCACTGCAACCTCCGCCAGGTTTAATGCAAGTGATTCTGGTGCCGAGATCGCGCCGCTGCACTCCAGCAAGGGCAACAGAGTGAGACCCTGTCTCAAAAAAAGTTCTCCCCTGCTTGAAACTCCTCAAAACCCCTGCACTCCTAGAATAAAGTACAATAAACTACATCTGTGGCATTCACAGATCCTCATGACTCACCCCAGCCTTCCCTTTGCTGCCCACTTCCCAACTCCTGCACGGTATCGGGGGTGCCAGGAACACCTCGAGCTCCTCCTGGGTCCCTGACACACGGTTTGCTCCAGGCTCTCTGCCTTTGCGCATGCTGATCCCTTCCCTTTCCTGCTGGTGAACTCTTTCTCTACCACCAAGACTTTGCCTCCTCCAGAAGCCTTCCCCAAGCACTCCATACAGCCCACTTACAGTGCCATACTCTGGGTCCCACTGATGCCCCATCAGTGCTCCTCAGCGCCAAGCAGCCAAATCCCTGTCTTGCTCGAGGCAGAGGAGCCTGAGACAGATCCTTTGCACCTCCACCATGGCCCTGTTTTCCTCCCAGCCCTCCCCATCTGCCCTTTCCAGCAGGGGAGAGGAAGAAGACCTGTGGGGAAGGAACACCTGTTCATGGGCACCTGCTATACAGGGAAGGGAGGATGAAATCTGGCTCTGAAGGTGCATTCCAGGGGTTCCCAAGTTCCCCACCCCTTACAGCTCTGGGACCTTGGGCAAGCTACTTGCCTGTCTATCTTTGCCTTCCTCATCTACAGAACTGGTGAAAAGACCTAGCTCTTAGGTAGGGAGGCCTCAGTGAAATGCGGTATGAGGAATTTTGTTTTTGGTGCATGATTGTTATTATTATTGCAACAGCCACTTCACTGGCCAAGCACTGTGCTGGTGCTCCTGATAAGGAGGGAGACCCAGGCATTTGGGATTCCCTCCTCCTCTGTCATCCACTGTGCATCTCAATAAAAGAGAGAGCAGGCCAGTTGGCTTCTCCTGAATCTCCTTCCTGAAAACAACAGGCTAGGCCTTGGGGAAACTCTCCAGAAGGCACTATTTTTACTTAAAACAAGATCGAACCAGGAACCCTTTCATATGTGATTCCTGAACTGTAAACAGAGACCTTTTCACATGTGAGTCCTAAAACTGTAAACTGGAACCCTTTCATATGTGATTCCTGAAACTGTAAACAGAGACCTTTTCACATGTGAGTCCTAAAACTATGAACCTAAGATTCTTCCACGTGTAACATCTAAATTATAGGCCTATATAAAGTGTTGGGAACCCAACTGTGTGAATACTTGCAAAGCGAGTTTCACAAGACGGGTGGTCGAGCCCAGACACAGGGACGCCTGATAGAGGGAAGTTGAGATAAAGTTGAGTCAGGAACAGAAAAAAGGAGAATCTTGTTAAAAGATAACCAGATGATCGGAACCAGAAAATCCTGCAGTCACAAGGAACAATGTCTCGATGTAAATGTTTTTTATGAGCACCAGGAATGACTATCACCTTTTATAACCACTGATTGTATGTCTCTGACATCCTTATTGTATAGAGTATGTTAATTAGTGATCTGTTTTTTCTCTCACACTGATGTCAACCAGAGCCTGAAAAATGCATATAATCGAAGCCTTTGAGAAACAAAGTTGCTGGTGGAGTACTCACTCCCCAGACCTCCTGACCCCGCTTTTCTGTCTCCTATTTTTCCTGCGCACCCCCAACTCAGGTTTTGAATCCTCTTGCTGGCCGAGAGTTCCCACCAATAAAGCCTGAACCTCCCTTTGTTAGACGAGCTTGGCTGTTAGGCACCTATGCCACCTTGCTCCCAGCTGAAATAAATTCCTTCCTCCTGTGTTCGGTGTCCAAGAGATCCTTTCGCGTGGCCGCTCCCGCTACACTACATCCTGGCCCCATTTCAGTCATGCCCTGGCCAGTGAGGCAGGGATGTCAGTTCCATTCCATGAAGGAGGCAAGTGGGACACTGAGGCAGCACGGGACTGCCACTTTTCCTCGCCGCCCATGGCTCAGGCCTCTCCCACTCTCCTGGAGAGTGGTGGAGGCCCAGGATGCAGAGTGAGGGAGCTGGAGATTTGGAATGCATCCTGCACAGCCTTGAAGATGGAGGTGGGGACAGCAGTCAAGGGAGGTAACAGGCTGCAGGGCTGGGGATGCACCTAAGCCCAGGTGTCAGCTGATCTCACCAGGCAAAGGGACCTTTGCTTTTCTTCTGCTCATTGTACTCCCCCAGTGCAGGTGGAAAGGAAGGAACCCCTATTTTCTGAGGTCTTCCTACGTGACAGGAGAGTGCAGAGCTGGGAGCTTTGATATATACCCATTTCCACCAACTCCAAGAGCTGGTGTTACTGCCCCGTGTCCATGTCAGTCCAAGATGAGGCAGCTGGGGTTGTCCAGAGAACTGGCACAGTCCCCTCTCCACTACCCTTGCTCTGGAGTCTAGGCCCATTTGGCCGTCACAATAGTGGGTGTGGCTGAATCACTGGGCAAGGTCAGTTTAGGATCACAAAGATCCTGGGTTAAATATCTGAACCTGAAGCTTTACCCTAGCCATCTCTGCTTAAATCCCTTGGCTTATACACAGGTTACACAGTGCACAAGCCACACAACTGCACACAGCAGCCCTGATCATCCTCAGAGAAGTCTTTGAACCAGAGTTGTGGATTCTACCTTCCCGAGCTCTGGGAGCACAACCCCTTCCCTCTCCAGGACTCCAGGTGTCCCTGTGTTAAAACAAACCCACATCGCCTGGGCCTGATGGTCTCCTCTGCCTTCTGCCCTGCATCTTTGGCAGCCAAATGTCTTGGAGTGGCCTATATGCAGGGGCCCTTGCCTCCCATTCTCATGGGCTCTGGACTTCCCTCTGAGTGATTCCCCCCCCAAAGCACTCCCCAGTTCCATGTGTCCTCACTGCTCCTGGGCACTCAGTGACCACCTTAATCCCTCTGTGCTGCGAGAACACCACAGGGATCCTCTCACTTCTCCCTTTCTCCTTCCTCCAGGCTCAAGCCATGACCCGAGGCATCGCCTGAGGGCCCTGCCTGCCTCAGTCCAGTCCTGTGTGTGGGAAGAGATGACCAGGGGCAGGCCTGTGTTACTTACAGTTAAATGAATACCAGCTTGCTTTGCTCTTTGTACATGGAGATTTGTCCCAGGGATCACATCCAAACTACGGTGCAGTAAAATAAAAGCAGAGATCAAGCGTAACAGGAGGGCTATGGTAAGGACTGTCTGAGAGCGCCCTGTGACCACGGAACACTGCGGTGTGGTTGCAGAGCAGAAAAGAAACTGCTCTGGTCCCACAACTCTTCCCAACAGAGTTTGTGTGAGGATCTCGTAAAGGGAGCTTATGCAAGAGGCTCTGGGAAGTAATGCAACCTCTGCTCACAAGACTCAGGATAGTCTTCCCAGGTGCGTGCGGGTAAGGCCAGAAAGCCTTACAGGGCAGAGACACCCAAACGCCACAGGCTCTGCCTGTGTTCTCAGAATACGGAGCAATTCGAATTGCTCTGTGTCCACAATCCTCGGGAGAGAAAAGCCCCTTGATGCACTGTGTGTGGTCAGACCTTATGGGCCTTATCTGCTGCACCTCTCTGGCCAAAACACCTGGAGAGACAATGGGTGGTAAAATCTGTGTCCTTAGTTAGCATGTCTTAGGAAAATCGAGTTTGCTATTGAATGCTGCAAACACAGGCTCTTCCTCCGGCTATCCTCCTCAACCCCCCTCCCCACAGCCTGCAAGATTAACAAGATAATACACCAATAAAAGCGCTTGGAGCCCAGAGCCCAGTGCCAGCGTGGATCACCCCTCGAGAGTGCGTTTGACCCCTGGACCTGTTATAAAATTCTATTCTTCTGACTTTGCCTTTCTTTTCTCACTCCCTCGTTACCGCCGGGACATGGGGCACCCACAAACAGGGTTGGGCTGGTTCCCATCACTGTGGATGAATCTCCTCAGCCACTCTCCTTCCTCCGTGTCTAGTGAGGCAGGATGAGGCTCAACCAGAGAGAGCCTGAAGGTGGTCAGACTGCTCAGAAGGGCACCCAGGGGGCTGCCCGGAAGCCTTGGTGGGGTGGAGGTGGTACAGGTACCCTCATGCCTTTGGCTTCTCCTCCCCGCTGGACTTGTCCCAGCCCCACCCCAATTCCTCACCAGTTTGTAACTCACCCCTCCCCCTGTCCCTCAGCCAAAAGTGACAAGTGAACGCTCCACAGCACATTTTGCCTGGCCTGCCAAACTTTTTGAAAGTTTCATTTAGGTGCTATCATTTAAAAATCAGAAGATTTCACCTAAGAATCCAGCATTCTAGTTTCTTTCGAAAAATCAGAGGATCTGGCGACACTAGACGCACAATCCGGCACGGCGACAACCAGCTGGAGCAGTGCTGGCTGTTCCCCTCTGTGGGGCTTGTGCTCGGGTTTCTGAAGTTCTAACCCTCCCAGTCACAACTGTCACCTATGCAAGCTGCTGGCTCCTATGCTGTGTCTCTGCACAAGGCGGCCCAGTGGGAAGGAACAAAAGCGGGGTTTATGAGAGGTTGTCCTGTTCAGCCCTCCCCACTGCCCACAGGTCTTGGCACGTGAGGGAGGGCAGAGTAGGGTGAGCAGAAAGGCGGGGGGGTCCCACTCAGGACACATCCCAGCCTCTCTCTGATCACTGTCCATGGCTAGCAGCGTCCCAGGCACCCCATGTGTCCTGGTCCAGCTCAAGCCTGCCTCGGTGGCCGGGCGGCTGCAGTTGTGTAGCTTGCTGTCTTGGTCCCGGACACTCAACATCCTCTTGGAGCTGGGCCTGGGACCTGAGGCCTTGTCCTGAGCCTGAGCAACGTGGCCTGTACGCACAAGCTTCCACACTGTCCATCCAACTCAGCTGAATGTGCACCAGGGTGTAGCAGCCTTGTCACAGTCCAACATGATGTTGAGGACAGTGCAGGCGGCCCCGCCCACTGACAGGGCCGTTCGGGAAGCCACATGGTACTTCACAGTGTTCAGACCTCCTTCCCGGTCCACTTTGAACTGCTCCTGGGGAGGAGGGGAGGAAAGAGCATGGACTCAGGGCTGCACAGGTACCAGCTGCCCACTGACCGCACGCAACCTCACCATTGGAGGTCCTGTGGTCCCCACTGGAGAGGAGGAACCCACAGCTCAGAGCAGTGAAGCCTCTTGCCCAGGGCTGTGCCCCACTAGGAAGCAGGAGAGCCGGGATCTCCTGTTGGACGCATATGCCTCCTACAGAAGGGGCTGTTTGAGGGTATGATCCCTGCATCCCGGGTGTGGCTGAGATTCTGGCACCTTTAGCTAAGCCTCCCCATCCCACCCTGCCAGCCTGCATGGACCCTGAGGTCTGGGCTGACCCACAAGTGCCCAGGGTGCCCAGAAGCCACCAGAGCAAGGCACTGTCAACTGACCTGGGACAAGCAGGGGAGGATGGGGCCATTTGGGCCAAAGAGAACTTGGTGAAAACTCGGACCTGTTGGCTCCCCACATCACCACCTATCTGTCACCGATGAGGAGCCCAGCCAGCACCTGTTTTTGAGCCGCGATGCGTTTCTGGTCCCTCTTCCGCCAGGCTGGGTCATGCAGGTGGCGAAATGTCTTGTACCCAGTTGTGATTCCCGAGGGGCGGAAAAGCTAGAGGCCAAAGGAAGTCGGGGTCAAGCCACAATTCCTGGAGCCCTGGCCCTTACCACCAGCTCCTCTGAGGTCCCACTGCCTGCCAGGAAGTCAGAGGCAGGGGTCTGCACTCCCAGCCTGCAGGAGAGGAGACTGGGGCCCAGAGGGCAAGGAACTGGCTAGATGACCATGCAGGGCAGGGTCAGGGCAGGTATCAGAACCAGGGCCATCTCCAGACCCTGGGGAGCTTCATCCGAGGGAACAGAAGAGAATCTCTGGGCAGCCACCATGGCTGAGGTGGCAGCAGGGCCCCGGGGAGCCTCACCTGGAGCCCGGCTCCTTTAATGCGCCGGTAGAACTCATCGTCCTCACGGCCCCAGCCCCAGAAGCGGTTGGACATCCCGTTGCACTGACACAGAGATAAGCAGCGTCACTCGGCCCATCCTCCCTGGGGGTCCTTTGGTCTCCTACTGCTCAGGAGTGCCCTCCTCCCCGGCTGCTCTGAATAAGCACCAGGTGCTTACAGGCCCCTCCACCTCTGCAGTGCTAGGGGCTGTGGGAGGCAGCACATCCAGTCCCTTTCCTGTTCTCATGGGGTCTTGAACCTGTGTGAGATGCTCACCTTCTCAAAAATGTCTCACTGGGCAGAGGGGATCTCTTTGGGGAACTGTCGATGGGCAGAAGCGCCAGTTCCTACTTGATTTCTGCCTCCCTCACTCCCCTTTCTTCTGGTGACCCTGCCCTCATCTCTTCCTGTGTGTGTGAGAGGGGCAGCTGGGCTCCATGACAGACAGCCATTCTTGCACCTGGCTCAGGGCTTTCATTTCCATAAAGGAGGCTTCTGCCATGGCCTGGAGAGAAGGAGACCCAGCCTGAGCTACCAGGTTGTTCCTGCCCGCCCATCCGCGAGGACAATGAGTTGTACCGGCCAGTCATTGGCTCAGGCGGGTTCAGTACTCAAGCCTGCCAATCATGAGCCAGTGCGGCTCAGAACCAGACTCCTGCCTGAGCTACGAGAAAGGGCCCCGTCTCCCACCAGCCTGGGGCCTGGATACCCATCTAGGATACCGGCTGCAGTGACAACTACCACCTTGCAAATAAACCCAGTGCAGGGAAGGCAGAGCTGAGAGATGGACAGAGAAACAGGGCCCCAGTGACACTGTCCAGGACGTGGGCAAGCTGCACCTGAACCGCCCCCCACACTCTTCAATGCTGAGGGCCACTAACTCCCCAGGTTTCTGAAGCCAGCTTCCAGGGATTCTGCAGCTGTGGCTGACTGGCTCGCCTGCTCCTCGCACTGTGGCTGCTCCCGGGTTTCCCTGCCAGGCTGGGGCAGGGCTCCATCTGTTGGGCCCCAGAGGTACTGCCCCGTCCTGCCCACCATCTGCAGCCTGAGCAGAGGGGGCTGTCCGGGCCTCACCAGCTGGTAGTGCTGCTTGGACAGCAGCAGGATGCCGCCAACATAGGTCTTGTAGTGGTAGAGAGGGTGGAGCTCCGGGGAGGCCACGTGGAAGGGCCCAGCCTCAGGGAAGCCATAGTCCAGCTCCTCGTTGAGAGGGAGCAGGTCAACGTCGTGCATAGCAATGTAGTCCGTGCTATTGCTGCTCTCCAGGAAGCCCACGTTGATGAGCGCTGCTCGGTTGAACCTGTGCAGGGCGGCAGAGGCTGGGCAGGGGCGGCGCATGGGCTCACTGCCGGGGGCTCAGCACCCACCTCGGGGCCCCCATGGTGCCTATGGTGCTCTCTGGCCCAGCACTGACTTCATTCAGCCTATGGGGCTGTCCCCTCCACTCATCGCACAAATATTTACTGAGCGCCTGCTACGTGCCAGAAACCATTCAAAGCACTGGAGGTACAGCAGTGAAAAACCAGGCCTGCTCTCGAGGAAGTGAGATTCCAATAGAAGGAAAGAGAAACAAACAAGCACAAAGCGCGGCCGATGGTGGTGAGTGCCGGCGGGAAAGCAAAGCAGGCCAGGAGACGGTACGTGGCCGGGTGGGGCGAGGGCGGTGGAGGCGATGTCAGGGATGACACCGTGACTGCACAAAGCCCAAGGGCCACTGAAGGATGGGGCTCTGACTCCCTGTGCAGGCTCTGAGCAGGGGTGGGGCATGCTGTGACTTATGTCTGGACAGGACCGCCCTAGCTGGCCTGTTGAGAATAGACTGTTGGAGCAGGGGTGAAAGCAGGGAGACCGGCTGGGAGGCTACAGCAATAATTTAGGTGAGAGACGGAGAGATGAAGGTGTCCTAGCTCAGGAGGTGACAGTGGTGACAGTGAGAAGCAGGCAGATTCTAGATGGATTTTGCTGACAGGATACAGTATACGACAGAGAACGAGCGGCTGAGGATGACTCGGAGGCTTTTGGGCTTGAGCAAGGGAAGCAAAAAGCTTCCATTTCCATGGGGAAGAGGGCAGAACTGCAGGTCTAAAGTAGGGCGGGGCACCAGCAATTCAGCTGTGATCATGGAAGCTTGCAGTGGCTCTGAGGCCACCATGTGGAGGGACTGTGTAGACGGCTGGGCTGGTGAGCCTGGAGTTCAGGAGAGTGGTCTGGGCCAGGAATAGCCCAGGGAATCATCAGAGTAGAGATGGGGTTTAATGCCTGGAGATATGAGATGCCCCAAGGAACGCCTGGAGTTACAAAAGGGGGGCTGCCAAAGTACCGAGCCCTAAGAAGCCCGGATGGTGAGAGCTCAGGGAGACAAGGAGAACCCACAGAGACAGAGGACCAGCCGGTGCAGAAGGAGGACCAGAGGGTGCTGCCCCAGCGCCAAGCAGGAGCGTTTATGAAGGAAGACGCTGCTGACAGGTCCCTGGAATACAGGCCCAGCACAGCCTCTGTACCAACCGAGCGGAGGTGGCTGGTGACCTCAGTGAGAGCTGCTCTGTACCATGGTGGGCACGGAGTCTAAGCAGAAGGGGTTCAAGAGAGACGAGGGGGGAGAAAGGGAAGGAGGTCTGCCAGAAAGCAGAGAAGTGGAGTGACAGCCTTGGGATGTGGGATCCAGGGAGTCTTTTTCCTTTGAGAGAGGAGCCACTTCAGTGTGTGTATGCTCATGGGTATGCTCCAGGAGAGGAGTGCTCATCGTGAGGGAGAGGAAGGGGCCAACTGGGGGTGGGGGGAAACACTAGGGGGTAGGGACGGTGGAGAGTCAGCCCAGACAGAAGCTAGGACGGCCCTGAATCCCTGTGCACAGAGGCTGAGAGGTGAGTCGAGGTGGCGGGAACCGGGGAAAGTTCTCTTCATTTCATTCTGTTTTCTGAAACTGGAAGCAAAGTCATCAGCTAAGAGTGAGGACAGGGGAGGAATGAGAAAAGATGGTTTTAAAGGCTGCGGTGAACAGACCAGAAGAAAGTGAGGCTCCCAGCAGGGCCGAGGGCCTTCCTGGGGGGACTCATTGGCAGAGGCGCAGCAGTGTGGCCGCCTCATGTGTGATCTTTTCTCTCCAGTCCCCTCCAGTGCTCAGGCGCAGGTGTGGAGCAGACAGCTGGAGTAAGTCAGGCTGAGATTACGGCAGCAACAAGAGGCCAGAGGCTTGAGGGAGTATGCCAGGGAGGATTTTAGTGGCGGACCTTGGACTCCACGTTAGGTAAGAAAAAGTAAAGATAAGGAGGGTCGCAGGGAAAAGGTGGGGGGACCTGGGGATCCAGATCAAGGAGACTTGAAAAGGTGGGAAGATCAGGCTGGTGGGGCTGAGAATCCATCTTCTGGTGGGAATTAACTGGAGGGAAAGGAGGTGAAGTGCTGGAGGGTGAGATGCCAGGCTGTGGTCATGGAAGAGAGCACTTTTTGGTAAGGGTGGAGATTTTAGGATAATGCCAGGTTGTGGGCAACATTAAAGCCGTGGGCTTGACCCTCCCTTTCCCTAATTCCCCAGCCAGTCCCCAGGGAGTCCTGTCTGGGCTTCCTCCACAGCACCTCTCTCCACCCACCGCCCCCAGCACCACACCATCAAGCCACTGTCATCTCAGAC